TGCGGGCGGTTGCGGGTTGACTTTTTCCTAAACCGCATAGATGCGGGCGGGTCAAAACCAAACCGTAAACCGCACAAAACCGATCCGCGGACACCCCTACGGCTAATATAGCACCACCACCCAAACAAACATGTAGAAAACAAAAAGCAGATGGCAAAAAAGACAAAAAGAAAAAGTGCAAACAAAACCGTTGAAAGAAAGGCAGTGCCGTTTGGAAAACGTATCCGATTCGAAATTGAGCCCCCTACATGAAGTCCCAAGTGTATCAAAGTGGCCCCAATCAAGCATTGACCTGATGATATCGATACCTTCCCACAATCTCTTATTCAGGTCAGCAAAGGCAAACAGCAGTGGTGTACCCCACCATTTAAATATAGTTGACTGTTCACATCTTTCAAAACATGTTTTTGATGTCTTCATTTGCTTTTGGCTTCAAAGATATCTGACCCAAAAGCCAAAATCTGTTCTTCCAATTTCTTGTTTCTCCAACTCCTCAAGTATCTTCAGGAACAAAAACAAGTGGGTTGGGGTTTTCTTGATTTGGGCTTTTTTTCTTTTTTCTTTTGGTTATTGGGTATGCTTTTATTTATTGATGCTTTGTGAAATTGATTTTCTGGGTGTTTGTTGAATTTTGAAGTGTATCCAAAGGTGAAGGTGAGGGAACAAGAAGAAGATGATGATCTACTAACTGTCTATGATCACGACAAGGCAACACATCTCTCAGGTTTTTTTTTTCTCTTATCGATTTGAACTACAACATGAAAGTCCACTTTTATTCCATTTTTGTTGAGTTTGATTAATGAATATAGCATGAATTAATAACAAAAAAAAAAAAAAGTAACATAACATAGTAGCAGACCTCATCAAGGATGTCATTCATATACCCAAAAGCTCGGATTCCCTCAAAAATCAACAATCAAAAGCCTAAGCAGGAAGAAGGCTATACCCCAAAAAAAATTCCCAACGATTCTTCAGATCTCAAACGAATAAAAACTCTTAAATCTGAAACATGTATTTTTGAATGAAAATCTCATATCTAAATGATATTGTTTCGAATGAAAATTTTTAATGAAGAAAGACTATATATTTTCAAATGAGAAAATTCAAATCTCAAACAAATATTTTTGAATGAGAACCTTCAAATCTTAAACATATATTTTTGAATGAGAAATCTCAGATCTGAAACATATGTTTTTGAATAAGAAATTTCAAATCTTAAACATATTTTTGAATGAGAAATCTTAGATCTGAAACATATGTTATTAAAAAAGAAATTTTGATGACATGAAGACATTGGTACTTCAAACTTCAAATCTTACCTTCTTGGGGGGAAAAAAGAGATGATCCAGTCTCAATAACTATAGCAAGGTCCAGATGTAGCAGTATAGACGATATTTCCTTCAAGGAATAAGAAGAACCCCCCAAAACACAACAATCTAGGGCGTCTCCTTCACCGTTCGAACTCAGATCTCACAACAATTAGAGAGAATTTGTCGCTTGAAATCACAAGGGGAAAGTCATGCAAGAAGAGGGTTTATCCAAATCCTAGGAGAAGAATTGACGGAAGGAAAAGCTTGAGAGAGAGAGAGAGAGAGAGAGAGAGAGAGAGTACGAAACTGAGATTATAGATGGTGGTGCTCACCTAAGTAGACGATGCAGATGGTGGTGGCGGTGAAGCTTCGAAATCGAAAGAGAGAGAGAGAGAGAGAGAGAGAGAGAGAGTACGAAACTGAGATTATAGATGGTGGTGCTCACCTAAGTAGACGATGCAGATGGTGGTGGCGGTGAAGCTTCGAAATCGAGAGAGAGAGAGAGAGAGAACGAGAACGCAAGAGATTTGAGGGATTGATTTCTCTGAGACTGAAGGATTTCTCGGATTCAAAGTGAGGATTTGAAGAAAGAGAGAGGTTCTGATTCTCACAGAACTGAGAGAGAGAGAGAGAGAGAGAGAGAGAGAGAGAGAGAAAGGGGATAACATTGTAAGGTGTTTAAAAATGACTTCTATTGGTAAACGGTACTGTTTTAATTAAAACAAAATACGACGTTTATAAAACGTCGTTAAATATTAGAAAAAGTGGCATTTAAAAAAACCTCGTTAAATAATCGCCATTAAATCCCATATTTCCTATAGCGAGTCTTACCCTATATTAACTAGGATAAATTACGCCAACGGTCCCTATATTTTACTTCTCATATCATTTTGGTCCCTATGCTTTAATTGGATCAATTTTGACCCTTAATTTTAGATTTTGTGTCAATTTAGTCCAATTAATAATACAGTTAGTGTTTTTTAAATAAAATTATCACTAAATTGGTTGAGGTTTACTCACCAAATTAAGTAAGTTTATAATTTTGCCCTTAAAAATATGAGTCGCATGTGAGTTCCACACTATAAGACATTTGAAATGTTTTTTGATAAAACTTTTAAAATCTCTACGCACCTATTAAATTTAGTTCAAAATGTAATAGTGCTGGTTTAAATAATTAATTAATTAGAACCAGAAAGTTTTCTAGCATTAGCTAATGAATCTTAGTCATTATTTGATTTATTAAAATGAACAATCTCTTTTCAAAATAATTATTTATGTATAGTACTGAGTAATGACTTTATTTATATTATATATATATGTATATTTTAAATATTTTTTTAATAAATTAGACATGAAAATAATGTTCATTTCATTCCGCATAATTCCACCTAACCAAATATTAGTTAGATTCTTCGCTAAAAAACAAAATAAATTAAATTCAAAGCTTGCCAAAGTTTAAAACGCTTCTCTCCCCAAACCTAACATAGATTTTCCCTTCTAGCAAAAGAAAATCTCTACTACCTTTTGAAGGGACTGGATATAAAATGGGTCGGATCCAAGCCTTGGGCCGGCCCAATCCAATAAAGCCCAAATCCAAATGGATTAGATGAATATATGGGTAAGCCAATTGAGCCCAACTCCATGATCAACTGTCTACCCAAGTCCTCAAGCACTTGGGCCCAACCCGCAGTGAAAAGGCTAGCCCAACCGCGATGTTGGGCTAGGCCGAGCTACAAGACCTAATCTATGGGCCGAACTAAAGTGGGCCGAGCCCACACTAAGATATCTGAATGGACCAGCACGTCCCAATGGAAGCCTTGTATAGGGCCGAACTGGGCGCGAAGGTACCGAGCTGAGGGAACCTCGCAGAGAAACGTGGAAGTTGTAAGTATGTGCATATGCAAGTTGCCACCTCAGCTGGTCCCCTACACCTAGAATCACGGAAGCTGTTAAACCAGAAGAATGAAGTTTGTTATCAGCATGACTACAATGAATATATGCATTCTATAACAACTATCAGGTGGTCCCCCCACCTTGGATAATGCTAAAAGGAAGCCTGGCAGCACCAGAGCTCCATGAAACCATCTTGAGAAGCAAGCAAGGAACACTATATATACTACATGAACTTCACATTGAAGGTAACTGAACTATTCCAAGTAAAACCCCATTTACTTACAAACTCAACTCTCTACATCTCTTCTCCGATCACTGATTCCCACACTGGAGGGGTTATCCGGCCAACCCCGGTCGGGTAGCTCTTACGGTATTTCTTGTGACAGGAACCTCAGTCCCTGGATAGTCCAACCGAATACAGAGCCCCGATCCATTTTCATCTAGTGCGGAACTCAGTACGCACAATTGGTGCGGTGAACGTGGATCACTTCATCTCTCAGCTTTGCACTCAGTTCCGATGATGGGGATTGAGGACATTCCACCTTCAAAACATACTCCACAGACGGAGAAGACGAAGGACAAAGGCTTGGCACTCCCAACAGTCTTGGAGAAACAAACTAAAAGCAATAACCGGACCCCTGAATCCGTGAACATCGATTACCCTTTGCTGGAGGTTCTTCTCATCACTTTCTTCTGGAAAAGGATTACAGAGATCGAATCATAGACTCCATGGGGATGGAGATACAGGAGCTGAAAGCCTAACTTAAAAGGGTGCTGGGTGATCCAACGGAAAAGAAGACTGAAGTAGAGCCCTCTCGTTTGCAACGGAGGAGCTCATCTAGAGAGCCACCAGTGAAAAAGTTTCCCAGAAATGAGTCTAGGCAACAAAGCTAGCCTATCCCGGTACAGAGTGAGGCGGCAAGCAGCCACACCCGTGGGTAACGCCGGAGAAGGGCTAAGAGGCAGAAGACAGTTAGCCAACAGACTGAATTCCCTCCTCAAGACCTTCGTACTTGGTTGATCGACAATAAGCAGAACGAGCAGCGTCGGGATCATCTGGACCGTACCGTTCACCAGAGAGAGCACCAAGCGCTGGATAGGCTTGTCTCCTCGCCATTCTCTCCGAAAATTGAGACCATAAGACCTCCAAAGAAATTTACCCCACCAAAGTTCACTTTGTACGATGGAAAGTCAGACCCGCTAACACATATTAGCCATTACAGACAGATGATGTCTCTATGGAGCCGAGATGAGGCACTGATGTGCAAAGTCTTCCCATCCATTCATGGCTGGAAGCAGCTCTCCGAAGAGTTCCTAGCCAGGTTCGTCTCCAACACTAAGATCCCGAAGGAGCCGGATACGCTGTTCGGCCTCTGAAAGGAGTAGGAGGAAATGCTGCGCAGTTACGCTAGGAGGTACTGGGAAGAGTACAATGACCTAGAGGAAAAATGTGTGCAGCGAGCAGATGGCTGTTATGTCTTTCAAACATGATCTGCGCCCGGAAAGTAAGTTGAGACAATCACTTACCAAGCGTCTAGCCACAGCATTGAAAGACTAGCGTGCCAGGATTGAGCAGTACGCGCGCCTCGAAGATGATCAGATCCCCATCGAGGTAGCATCAGCAGAACAAACAGCTCGGCACAAGAAGAGAACATATCGATGAGAGCACCGAGGGATCGCAGTGAATGAAGTGGATAAGTCCAAATCTCACGAAGCCGTCGTAACTGTATTCAAAGAGCCGATCTATCGAATTCTAGAAAAATCAAGAGAGAGCCCTTCTTTGTCTGGCCACCGAAAATGTTGGGAGATCCAGCTCAGCGCAATCAGAAGCTCAGATGCACCTATCACCAAGATAGGGGGCACATGGCTCAAAACTGCAGGGCACTAAAACAACACTTGGAGGACTTGGTAGTAGCTAGGCACCTCCGGGATTACATTGATCAGGATAAGGAAGTGACCGAACTGGGGAACCCACCACCAGAACCAAATATTGAGCACCCACCTCGGTTGATAATAAATGTGATCCATGGGACAGCAACTCAAGAACCTGAGGAGACACTGAGAGAAGAGATTGCAAAGGCTATGCAAATTCAACAGGTCATGTCAGTAGAGCCTCCATCGAAAAAGGTACGCACGGCACCCAAATCCCCCTTGTGCACTGTTTCATTTACTAGAAAGGATTTATAAGGCATACAGCACCCATATACTGATGCACTGATTATAACTGTGGGAATTGGGACACGATTTGACATAAAACGAGTCTTGGTAGATCAAGGCAGTGCAGCAGACATTGTATTATGACTTGTTCAGAAAGCTTGGTCTCTTCGAGCAGCACCTCACCCCAGAGGCAGCCCCGTTAGTTGGCTTCAATTCGCAGCCAGAATGGCTGCTTGGCAGAATAGTGTTGCCAGTCGTGGCAGGAACAAAAACCCTCTAGATAGAGTTCCTAGTTATTAATACACCATCCCCTTACAACGCCATACTTGGCCGTCCATGGATTCATCAAATGGAGGCGGTCCCTTCAACCTACCACCAGCTCATCCGTTTGCCAACGAAACACGGAGTAGAGCAGATCTCAGGGGATCAAGTTGCGTCCAAACATTGCTTCATGGCGGCATTAAAGGCAAAGCAACTCTGCAATCGGGTACATACAGTGGAAGTGGCCGAACAGACAGTCTTGGAAGATGCAGGGGGAGCCCCAGAGGAAAAGATAGTAGAGGATTTGGAGAAAGCCCTGGTAAAAGAGGATGATCTAAAAAAGTACTTCCTTATCGGTACCTCGCTAGGCGCTGATGAGAAACTTCAGCTGCTGGAACTGCTGAGGGAAAATATGGAGGTATTCGCATGGTCAACATATGATACTCCAGGGTTGGACCCAGAATTTGCTTGCCACAAGCTTAACATCAACCCTTCCGCTCGGCTTGTTGTACAAAAAAGTCAGAGATCCTCAGTTAAGCACACTGAAGCAGTAATTGTTGAGGTCGAAAAACTCCTGGCATCGGGAGCAATCAGAGAAGTTTAGTACCTGCAATGGCTGTCCAACACAGTTGTAGTCAAAAAGAAGAATGGAAAATGGAGAGTTTGCGTTGCCTTCACTTGCTTAAACAAAGCCTGCCCTAAAGATAGCTTTCCACTGCCTCGCACCGATCAACTAGTAGACTCAATAGCAGGGCATGAGCGCATGAGCTTTCTGGACGCTTATAGCTGCTATCACTAAATACCACTGTTCAGTCCGGATCAAGAAAAGACAGCATTTATCACTCCGAGAGGAGCATACTGCTACAAAGGGATGCCGTTCGGCCTCAAGAACACTGGAGCAACCTACCAGCGAATGATCACTCGAATGTTCAAAGACCAACTTGGGAGAACCATGGAAGCTTATATAGATGATATGGTAGTAAAAAGCAAGCTCGCTACAGACCACCTTACAGACTTGAGGGAAGTTTTTGGCATCCTGAAAAACCATCAGCTTCGCTTCAATGCCTCGAAATACGCTTTCGGGATAGGAACAAGGAAGTTTTTGGGATATATGGTCACTCATAGAGAAATCGAGGTAAATCCAGACCAAATAAAATCAATACAAGATCTTGAAGTACGAACAAAGGCTAAAGAGCTGCAGAAACTGGCCGAAATGGCGGCCGCACTGAATTCGTTCATCAGCAAATCTACAAATCGGATGAAGCCCTTCTTCCAGCTTTTGAGGAAAAGGGCAACATTTGAATGGAGTTGCGAGTGTACCGAAGCACTGCAAAGTCTCAAAAGATACCTCAGCACACCACATTTCCTGTCCACTCTAGAACTAGGAGAGAAGCTGTACCTCTGTCTAGCAGTCTTAGATCATGCCGTAAGCGCAGTATTAATTCAGGAGGTGAACAAGGAACAGAGGCCAGTATACTATGTTAGCAAGACTTTACTAGATGCTGAGACGCGATATCTACCATTGAAAAAGTTAGCTTACGCACTGCTTATCGCCTCTAGAAAGTTGCAACATTACTTCCAGGGGCATACCATTAACGTCCTCACTGAATTCCCCCTCAGATCTGTATTCAGCCGAGCTGATTTCTCTGGCCAAACAGCAAAATGGGCAGTAGAACTTGGTGAGTTTGACATTCGGTATCAACCCAAGACGGCGATCAAGGCCCAAGTCTAAGCAGATTTCGTCGCAGAATTTGCTCCTACCCAGAGTACCGAGCCGAGAAATCCGAGTTCGGAACAGGTCCCACGCACCACCGAACAAGGAAAGCCCTGCACTTCGGAAGCATGGAAACTCTTTATTGGAAACATCTGGTAGCTTTATGTTGATGGGTCGTCCAATAACCGAGGCTCGGGGGCAGGAGTAGTACTTATCTCACCAGAAGGATTTATCTGGGAACAGGCTCTCAGGCTCAGTTAGAAGGCTTCAAACAATGAGGCAGAGTGCGAAACATTATTGGCTGGCTTACGTAGTGCCAAACACTTCAGTGCAGAACAACTTCTTGTTTTCAGCGACTCACAACTAGTGGTAAACCAACTTTCTGGGGTCTATGAAACACGAGATGAAAGAATGACTATGTACGCAGGCAAGGCCAAAGACCTACTCAAAAAGTTTCAATCCATACGAGTGGAACGAATTAGTCAGGACAGAAATAGCCATGCTAACGCTCTGGCTTGCCTCGGCTCATCAGTGGATACCAAGGATGTTAGAAAAGTTTGGGTTGAGTTTGTGCCAGAACCAAGCATTGCATCTCCAGTCCTCTGCAGCAACCTAGAGCCGAGCTGGATGGATCCAATACTTGCTTTTCTAAAATCTGGTACTCTCCCCGAAGACAAAAAGGAAGCCAACAAAGTCAGACATAAGTCAGCTCATTTTTGGATCTCACCATCTGGGAAGCTGTACAGACGTTCCTATCTTGGCCCTTATCTTTTATGTGTGCATCCAAATCTGGTCAAGAATGTTCTCTACGAAATTCACGATGGGATTTGTGGATGCCACATTGGTGGAAGGTCACTGGCGCACTGAGCCCTCACTCACGGGTATTGGTGGCCACAGATGCAACAAGATGCGTAACAGTACGTACAAAAGTATGATAAATGTCAGAGGTTTGCTCCACTCATTCATCAGCCAGCCAAAACTCTCACTCCACTCACCAGCCCATGGCCCTTTGCCCAATGGGGTCTGGATATTGTCGGACCATTGGCACGAGGCACTGGGAACAGGCAATTCTTCATTGCAACAACTGACTATTTCACTAAATGGGTTGAAGTCGAGGCGCTGGCAAGTATCAAAGAAGCGGATACAAAACGGTTTGTCATGAGAAACGTGGTGGTGCGTTTCGGCATCCCGCAGATACTGATTGCGGATAATGGAACACAGTTCGATGGTAAGATCTTTAGAAAGTTTTGTGTCGACCTCAAAATCGAATATAAGAACTCTTCTCCAGGGTACCCACAAAGTAACGGACATGCAGAAGCGTCAAACAAGACCATCATCAACGGCGTAAAGAAATGGCATGAGCATGCAAAAGGAAAATGGGTTGAAGAGTTACCCACATACTATGGGCATACCGAACCACAACACGATGCTCAACAGGGGAAACACCTTACTCCCTAACTCACTACAGGAAAATACACCTTTGGCGACTAAATTGGCTCCCGACCCTTCGGTCTGAGTTGTTTTAAAGCACCAGTAATGGGGAAGCTATTGCACAAGCACTGGATATGGCAGAGGGCCGAAGAGAAGCAGCACTGATCAGACTTGTAGCGTATCAGAAGCAACTCATCAAGAGTTTCAACCAAAAAGTTTTCCCAAGGCAATTTACACCTGGAGAACTGGTTCTAAGGAAAGTTATGGATCACAAAAGGGTGCCTGGTGAGGGCAAACTTGGGCCTAACTGGGAGGGTTCGTACAAAGTCACAGTTGTTGTTGGAAATGGAGCTTACTACCTAGAGGATCTGAAAGGTAGAGCTATACCTCGGCCCTAGAATGTAGCAAATCTCAAGAAATACTATCAGTAGAATTATCCCCCAACTTCTTCATCAGAATGTAAAGGCATTTATCTGTTGATCGATGCAAATGCTTTCCCACTTCTCTCAAATTTATCAAATTCTTATAATTAGCTTTGATGTTTATCAAACAGCATTAGCTTTAGTACTCACCAAACGGAATTAGCTTTGACGTTTATCAAACGGAATCAACTTTGATGTTTATCAAACGGAATTAGCTTTAGTTCTAACCCAAATGGACTTAGTTTCAGAACAACTGAACGGAATTTAAATTTGGTTAGCACTCAAACATGCCAAGTGGTATGCTTGGTAGAATTATGTTTGGCAACTAAATTGGATTTTAGCCAAGTGGAATTGCTTAGTGGAAACCACACTAACATATCTTAAGTAAACATCTCTAAATCTACAGAATTTCTTAAGTATCAACACGTCAACACTTCAGCACTGATGCGAACAAACAGAGTTGGAACAAACTTGGCTAAGCTCTATCAGGAGCAAACACTGCAGGAATTTTAACTTTTAGTGGCGTTTAAAAAACGCCGCTATAAGTGTCTAAAACGCCGCCAATTATTTTTGTGACGCTTAGCCCCAAACGCCGAGGACGCGGCCATCGCTATAACTTTATGACGTTTTAAAAACGTCGTGATATTAGTATAGGGGGCGTTTTTAAAAACGCCACTAAATGTCCTACTAAACTCACGCTGACGTCACTGGCGACATTTAGCGACGTTTTGGAAAAACGCCGTCATATCTTCTTGCACACGTATGATCATTAGTATGTAGGGTTTAAGAGGCGTTTGTAAAAACGCCGTCATATTCTCTTCTTTTTTTTTTCGAAATTAGGCTAATTTTATTTGATTGAACTAAAAAAATACAGATCATTCCAAATATAAATAACACCCAGCTCATTAACCCAAATTGTTTAATTCCATTTTATCCACATAATATAAACCATGTTACAATGCTTCCTCCAACAGTTATTTGATGCCACCTCGTAATCGTGTTGCACATCAGAAGAAGCCGCAAATTAACAGTTATTACAAGACAATTGAAGATCATTGTGCTGACATCCCAAAGGCCAAACATCTTGCCATTCGAATCAACACTGTTAGAACTGGAAGTGATCACAAAATTGTACATAACTAATGATTGGTAAATGAAAACAAAGCCAAGGTCACCACAACTCTCCATTTGAAGAAGGTATTTCTTATTCCCTCCTTGTACAACTGGGGGTACTTTTTGGAAAGGGAAGCACTGACATCCTGCCAAAGAACATATGTGATCATTCAGTCACATTTAGATTGGTTGCAAAAATAAATGACAAAAAAACGAATGGTAAGAGCATCTTGATGAATGAAAGCAAAAAGTGGACTTCAATCATTTTATTAAACTTGTATCAAATCAAGGGAGTAATAAACTTTTCACTAAATCAAGGCTGAACCAAATCCTTCACCAAATTTCCAAGAGTCATATATTTATACAAATTTGATGAAATTTTAAAAAGAGGAAGGATTGGACATGATTTTCTTTCCTAAAAAGTACTTAAAACAGGTTTTAAGGGTGAGTTCGGAATTTTTCAAAAAGATTTATGAAAAGAAATGAGTAAAGATTTGAGTTTCCATACCAGATCAAGCTTTTAACCAATTTTACACTCAAATTTGATTAAAAAAAGAGAAGAAGAATAAGAAAAGATAAAAGAGAAATAGCAAGGCTCGGAGATGCTCTAAATGTAAATACTCTAAATCGAAGTGTAAATACTCTAAATTGGTATTATACAAATACTAGGGGCTTTCCACAATGAAATCATTAATCCAAATCAATGGCACAAAAACTCAAATTATAAATCAACATTAAATAGAAAAAATGCAAGTACCTTCTCAAAAAGTGCAACCATAATCACAGGCATGGTTGTGAAAATAACATTATATAAAGACTGAAACCAATCATCATAGAATCTCTGACCTGAAAACCCAGTTTGGAAGGTGTACCAAAATTGAATCGAAGTCAATGTAAGATTCTTGTAAATGAAATAGGACACAACCTGTGATCAAGAATTTTTAAGCATGAAAAACTCTAGGTAGAGAAATGAAAAGAAAAATAAACTATGAAGGTAGAAAATTAGAACCTTGCATATTCTGAGATATGACCATCGGCCATGCACAAGAAGTAAATCTGTAAGAAAACGGATAGTGCAAATAATGCGGGACCCACTCTATCACCACTAAAATTCCATTAGCAATTAATAAAGCAAAGGATTTGTAACTTACTTACTAGCATGCTTTCTATCATGTCTCACTCTATCACCACTAAAATTAGATGACCAAAACAATTAACAATTAGCAAAATCCTTCCTTTTACTGGGCTTGGCTTATACAGACTTGGATCTGCAAATATGGTAAGGAAATCATAATTGCCCAGTGACATATAATCTTACATTCTGCACTTTTGGTGCCTAAAAACTACCAATCAATGTTTACTCAAAATGGAGCTTTCATATATCTTTGCAAAGAAGTCAGAGAGAGAGAGAGAGAGGTCTACCTACCAACGAGAAATAGGTAATTTTATGCTTAAATGGGATAGACCTCCATTAGCCTTCCCAAGATTGCCCTCACTATGTTCAAAATCAATGGGATTTACTTTATGAGGCATAGTCGAGGACCCAATCTCACCAGCCTTAGTTATCTGCTTGACATTTGAACTTGAAAAAACATAAGTTCTAGCAGAGGAAAACCAGTAGCAACATATTCACAAATATATCAGAAAGTTCACCTACTTGAAGCAACCTAAAGATACGTAGCCCCACATGTCCCTATCAAAATCAATTAAGATATTAAACTGGATAATTGCATGGAAAAGTTTTGCCATATAGTCATGAGTTTCGATCTGCATAACATGTTCAAATTGTATTAAATTAGATCAGGTAAATATGCATGAATATGCTTGCATCATAAGCCCTCTGTAAGTTTCATTCAAAAATCATTCTGTTTTTAAAAAGATTTTTAGAACAGTGGTTCAAATTATCACATTGATAATCTGGAGCATCAACTAACTTGCAAAACATGGTTAAACTATGAAAGCATTAGCTAGAAGATAATGACCTGAATTCTGAATTTTCAAGGAACACATATAAGTGATGTCCTCTATCACAGTTTAATATGGATGAATTAATTGTTAGATAAAAACAATAAGGAGCAAGGACGTGATAAAAATTCGGAAGAAAGTTCACTAATGAGTAACTAATAGGTAATAAAGACTACTGGCTTCTCTAGCTTTGTACATAGAGCAGCCGCGTAGTGGATGGTAGGTCTCTACGAGCCAACAGGTAGCATATCAAAAGGATCCATCAAAATGTGATTACTGATTGTTAACTTAGAACTTGCTGATAAAACTTCTAAAAATTACTCTGGTCTGTGAAGAATTACGGAGAAACCTAATAAAACTTAAGTGAGAAGGAATTGTTGTGGGAGAAGTGTTTGTTAACAAATCATTGATCATAAATTCATACATGTCATATCTGTGAAATTTAGGGAAAAGAACACTGTGGAACATGAATTGGCAATTCTTATACAGACCAATTCTACAACTAATGGTGTGATTAATCACTAATCTAGATAACATTCTGTTCAAGTTAAAATCATTTGATATTCAGCAAAAATAGGTGTAAACACATTCTCGGAAATTTTTTGAGAAACATTGCATCTTAGTATCTTACAACAATAGTAACAATAACCATTTTGTAAGATGGCTGCCATTTTGCTGAATAAACCCCCAACGATTTCTAATGCACTTCTTACTCTTTAACACATGGATACTATTCAATTACAATGAAGGGATCAATATGCCTTTTAATTCTCATTAAGCAGACTAGTTGGTACAGTTTTAAGTTATTATCTGTTAGTAATTCCCAGAATTGGGAAAAAAACACTCAAACTAATAGAACGAAAAAAAACATATGTATGTGGGTAGAATCAAAGTCCTAAGCTCCTAGTGAGATGCACTAGATGTAGAGGCTCAGATCACCAAGTCAACCCCTTGAATATCTGTCGGTCTTTCTCATAATTGATTATAAAGGAAATGAATTTGGAGCTGGCCTTTATAATAATGGGCAAATCATGAATAAAGTTTGTACGCAATAAATAATTATTTAGTACTACCAGAGCCCGAACTCAACATGTTGATATAATGCTCTCAAATCAATAAGAATAGTAATCATGGAATTGATAGAGCCAACCTAAATGACCTTCTATTTATTTATTTATTTATTTAAATAACTGGGGTATGGATAAACTTTTTTCTTAAATTACATTAAAATGCGATTGCTAATCAGCCTGACACAACATCATCTAACCTACATTTTTTTTTTCTTCAAATGTATATTCAAGTAAAAAAATATTAGTAATAAAAAAATATATGATTTCCGAACATGCTTTAATGTAATTTGAGAAAAAAATTATCCATAGTTATTTAATTTTGAAATTATTAAAAACCAAAAAAACTAAACAGGTCAAAGACCAGTGGCATTATTAAAGATAGGCAAGCTATTTTCACAAAAGGGTAGCATTCAGGTGGACAATACTCTCAAATCTTGAATATGATCAGTGAATCAGTGATTGATTGTTTTGCAATACACTGCAAATAATAAATAAAATAAACAACAAAAATTACCCATTTGAGTTGTCCAAAAAGCAGAGGATCAGATGCCAATTCCTTTATTTTAGCAGTTCTTGGGTGATGATACCACATAGTCCCATCCATGAACTGCAAACCGTTGGATTCACAGGCATCCAATATCTGATCAAGCTCCTCCACATCAAGAGCCGTCGGTTTCTCCATCAGCAAATGCTTCCTCTTCTGAGCAGCCAAGACTGCCCACTGCACATGAAGGCTAGTTGGCAAAGGCAGGTACACAGCATCAATCCGTGGATCGTCCAGCAACTAATCATAGCTTCCGTATATCTTAACGGTCTCCGATAAGCCATTTTTTACGGAAAATTGTTTCGCTTTTTGGAAAAAATCAAATTTAAGTCAATACCCAAATTAACCAATAGACAGACTGAATTTTAAATTGGTCCCAACTCAAACCATCGTCTGATTCTATTTATATAACTACTGCAAACAGGATAAGTAAATATTTCTACCCATCATCTTAACAATAATTTTGGCCTATCATAAACTCAAATTTTGGCCTATCTTTCTACCTCTTCCAAGGTTTTCCTCCTATTTGTTATTGGAGCTGCAGAACATAAACTCAAATTTTGGTCACTCTAAGGCCATGTTTGTTTGGGTGGACATGAGCTTGGGATTGGACTAATAGTCCAATAAAATTATTAATCCGACGTTTGGTTAAACAATTGAAGTACGGATTAATTATTTTAAACTTGACTATTAGTTAAGATAGGATACATAATCCAACGGATTGGTAATCCTAAGACTATTAGTCATGGGAATGCTAATCCAGTCCACCCAAACAAACATGGCCTAAGTACTCTGCGGGTCCATCAGATAAAATCCAATAAAATTTTGATGCACATATAAACAAACACATAGATACATGGCTTTTGAAGACATTAAAATTTATGGAAAGTAGCAGAAAAACCCAAATGCACAAACGACAGGGCCAGACAGATCATAAGCAAGGTAAGGAAGGAGGGAATCAAAGAAGACTCACCAGAGTGGAAATCAGGTATCTGCAGTGCACAAAACCCATTGTGAGGAAGAGAGACATTGCTGCTGCAAAGATTGACACAGTATAGTTATGATGGTGGTTCTGTGACTCTGTACACAAACGCAATAGAGATTAGCCTCTATAGACTAACCCTAGAATTGCATACAAAGCACAAACGCAAAGATCACCACGAACGAGTCAGAAATAGAGTCGATTTGAGGATGTTAATATGCACATAGGGACTCAAAATTACAGATCTGAACGAAAGCAATCAACCGATCAAATCCAGAGAAGAGTGTTCGATCGCAATCAATAAATTAAAAATCAATCAATCGAGATTTGCCTAAAAATCGATCAACAGAATAAAAATCGATCGCGATCAATAGACATAAATTAGTATATATATATAACAGATTTGAGATCGTAGATCTAAGTTTGTATATAAACAAAATGAAAAAAATCAGAGGACTCACAAAATTAATCTTCAAATCGGACTGATTCAGAGCTTTGAGCCAAGATGGAGAGAACCAGATCGTGAATCGGAGCCTACGAAGCTCGATCTAGTGACCTTTCACCATAAGAAAGAGGAGTGATGAAGAGATAGAAAACCTAGATCTATCAATTGCTGCGTGAAATAGAATAGAAGAATGAAAAACGCGTGGGTCTTAAAAGGGAAAACATGTTCGTACACCAAAAGCACGCGTGTTTTTTAAAATGAGTTATTTACAAAAATATTTTGAAAATCTTTAAAACGACGTTTTTTAAAAAAACGCCATAACAAAAGCGTGGTTATATGCTACTTTTCTTGTAGTGTCCATTACATTCCAACTAAATACATCTCAATTCCATTCCATTCCAACCAATGGCCATTTTGGACCTTTTACACCAATTTTATTACAAAAACACCACCACCCTCCACATGTTACACATCTCATACACTCACACACCTACACATTCAGTTGAGAGAAAGAAAGAAGAGGAAGAGAGTGAACTTTGGTAGTGGAGGAGAGGAAAAGAAAAGAAATTGTGCAAAGATTAGGGGCTAACTCTCTCTTTTATTTTCATTTTTCAAATGCATGTTATTAGAGGTTTTATATAATATTTTCAGATGTGTTGTAATGGTGATCATGTGTTCAAAGTGGATGAATTGGGCTTCAATCATTCTTCTATTCATATTCTCTCTTAATAGATGCAAAATTACGTTTTTCTTCCCATATCTCACATTTTTTTAAAGGCATACCACCATTATAAAAATTTGAGTTATTGATACATTATTTAGTATGTTTTCATCATAAAAGAAGTGGAAAATTTCCCTTAGTTGGCCTCTTTTCTCACAAATCTTCTTATTTTGAGTGTTATGCATGAAAAATCTGTTTTACAACGAACTTTCAAAAATTCTAACAACATGTAGAAAAATCTTATGGGCCTCATTTTTTTTGTCAAAACCTTCCTTAAAGAGTTAGCTTTCAAGGAAAATTGGTTTCATTGAAAAAGAGTGAGCGGTTTG